AAAAAAAAAAAAAAAAAAAAAAAAAAAAAAAAAAAAAAAAAAAAAAAAAAACTCAAATTTTCACGTTTAATCACATTCTCAACGAGCCGTACACGAAATCTCTCGCGCTAACGCGTACCAAAGGGTTTTTAACGGCGACATGGAGAGGATTTCCATGTACGTATGTATATATTCATGGACTGCAACCCGTGCACCAAGAGCCTTTTAACTTTTCACAAAGAGAAATCGAGGAGATTCAGGATAAGTATGTATATACGTGCGGGTTGAAATGAAAAAATATCACCCACACCTTTTCATTAGGAGAAACTGTTACGTGTACGTTAATATATATTATGTACACCTAAAGGAGCGAAGGACAAATTCGCCTATGATACGTTGGTGCATTTTCTACTCCAAAAATTTTTATAACAAAAGCAACGGAGGGTACAATGATGCGTATATTTATACAGTATGGCAGTGATAACAAAGAAACGGCTGCGGCTGTTGAGCGACTTACGAATCAATCATAGAAAAAATACGTTCCGACAAAAATATTTTTCAATTGCCAGAATGAAAAAAAAAAAAAAAAACAAAACCATGTTTCCCGTACGCTTGTGATTATAATTTTTGCTTGAATTTTGGAAATTTAAGACTTCCTCTCGCTATCGTTATTACTGAATGTGCGCATTTGAATAAAAGAAATATAAAAAAAAAAAAAAAAGTACAGGTTGAATAGCTAAGTTTTTATCGCTCCCTCAATACTCCTCATTATCTTCCTCTTCCTCTCCCGATCTCATTCGCGCGGGTATTTATTATAGAGCGTATTGTTACACGCTATTGTATTATTCAAAAAAGTATTACCTGTACTGCCCCTATTGTACTATTCATCGATGAAGGGTCGTGGCGAGAGAGTACGACTTACACGGTGTCCTTGGATATAATGATGTGTATTCCACGAATTTTTTACTTATACATTCAAGACGAGATCCTACAGATTTAACGCGATTTACCTACGCCCGTTCGTGCGTATTTTAAGTAAACGTTATTAATCGTTACACTGTACACGTCTTAGTTTCCGCATCGCAACAGCATCCACCTAATTGTAAGGATACACGCAGCTGGAAATTAATGAAGGCCCTTTGGGAAATGGACCACCGGACGTACTCTCCTCAAGTGTAACTTACTCTAATTCTTTGACCGAGAACAAACACGTGGCAGCACAAGCTTTTGCATTTTTCAAACGATTGCATGGGAAAAAAAAAAAAAAACTCGACATCAGAAACGCCCGACGGGGGAGTTCTTTTTCTCTCGATTGTGAATTTTAAAACGCACGCTTAGACAATACGTGCAGGTTTTTACAATTTTTTTTCTTTTTTTCTTCTCTATTTGTAACAAAATTTACTTGAGCCAAAATAATGCATTACAATTTGAAAGAAAGAAATAACCAAGACGAAAAGAATAGTCGTCACTAAGTATTAAAACATTAAATGTCAAAGTATACTTTACAATAAGCTTTAATATGTATAAAATGTACTACACGTATCTGTGAGAAAAAAAAATTTTCTTACAAAGTGCTAGAAAATCCATAAAATAATTGTGCCATCGTGCCCGCGTGGGACCATTATTTAGTATATTTTTAACCGAACAAACTTTAGATTTTTTTCATACAAACTATAAGGTTATCATTGAGTGTGAACATTGATTCGACGAGATGCTTGTGTTATTTTCATTGACGCAAAAAATGCGTAAATTAATTTTTGTTGAAATGAGCTCACAGACACAACATGAAACTCATGCCCGTACGTAATTCCGTATCGTTAAGAGCTGATTGGAATGAATGCTCCGAAACATGCAGATATAGTTATCATCTCTCATGGATCCATCATAATACAATCAGCCTCCGGCGCATAAGCATTGTTTGATTTACGGTTATGCAATGGTGTATGTGTCCGCGCAAAAAATCTTTGCCTTGCATTCCAAACGAAATCGTCCAAAACGGAACCAGTGATAATAGTAATAATAAATAATTTAAAGGAGCAAGTAAAGTAAAATATGCGCTTTCATCCTTAGGTGCAATTTTTCCTAGTGTTCGTCCACAGCGCCCAAGCCTTGGTGTTCGACTGCGGCTACCCGAGGCTTGTCGCATTCCTGCTACTTCTCCACTCTGCCATATTCTTCGTCCTCTTCTACGATTTCTACCTACAAGCTTACCGCCGAAAGCACAGACCCGCAGCGGTGGCTGACAAGCTCAAGCCCGAGTGAGCGGACGTCGACGCGATGAGATGCAATCGAAAGGAAGATCATGGCAATCAGTAGGACCAGTTCAATCATCTGATGTACACGCAAATTTATTTATTTATTACATTGCGTATGTAGGTATACTTAAGTATATGGCCATGTACCTACCTACCCACGCGTAATAATGTGTAGCACTTCATTGCAAGGGACTAGAGGCAGAGATTCAATACAAAGGAGCGGCATTACATGCTTAGTGTAACATCAACGAAATCTACTTACTGACTGAAATAAAATTTTAAAGATTATGTTTAACCACTGCTGCTGGTGTTGTCACGTGCTACATGTTAATAATACGCAATTATGTATGGTTGACTCATCAACATTTACTCGACTTTCCTTCACACATTAATATTATTATTATTATTATTATTATTATTATCATCATCATCATCATAATTATTTTGTATTTTTTTTTATAAGCTCGCGTGAAATCTAGTCCTCGTGCCGGCGCGAAATGCGGTTTTCTATATGCTACCGTCCTCGTCCTCGTAAGGCCCTTACAACTTTGGCTGTCATGTAAGGTATACGCGTCAGAGAGCTCACGCGCGAATCTTTTCCATTTGTACTGCGCTTTTTTATATTGGTTTGAGCTTGAAGCTTTTAATAAAAAAGGCTTCACTGTGCGAAAGTCAATTTTTCAAATTTATGAAATCTCGCTCATACGCCGCAAAACCACATTTCCCTAGGTTGGAAAAAAAAAAACAAAAACAAAAAAAAACATGAATTATTTTCTCTGTGGAATTGATCGTATACTTACGGGTAACATAGGCGTCAAACCAGGCCACGACAGGCATGCCCGGATAAATTCTCGGGCATCGGCTCACAGTGCAGCTAAACACCGAGGGGCTGCAAGGGGGAAGGGGATGGAAAGTGAAAAGTGCGCGCATTCGTTGAGCAATTGCCATCAGAATTGGCCCAATACCTACACACATATACCCAGCCAGTTAACCGACCGGACTGATACCTACTTACTTATATGTTGTTGTTGCGTGCACCAAAGAAACGTGCATGGCGCAATATTTTGGCATCCATCCGTGTGTGTGTGAGTGCAAATAAATTTTTTTTTTTTTTTTTTATGAGACTCTAGAGGCTACAGCTACGAGGTACTCGCAGCTTACCATTTCCGATGTGCGAATACGAAACTAAACGAAACAAAACGCATGCAAGTGAGTATGGCTATACGTATAGCTCTTGCAAGCTAATCATATTGGATCACTAGCTCCTGACATTCCGGAGTGTATTTCATAAACGTTCTTTAATGAATGAAGCTTCGAGCTTTAAGAATCAGCTTGGCGCGCCTATATCCCTGGACCTATGTACAAGCATTTATTCTTTCGAATTTTCATATTTTCCCATCAAGTAGTACCCGTACTTTATCCGAATAGAGTACCTATGACCAACACGTAACATCCCTCTCCCGAATTTCCCAATTGATTTCTAGTACCCCTTTCCTTCGACCCTCATCTTCCTCCCGTCAGTTTTGCACCTCTCCAAGGCGTTCGGTGGTGCAGGGAACACACCCCAACCAGAAAATTCCGAGTTCCAACCAAGGAGCGCTCCCAGGATGATTGTTTTTTCAACAATTTTTATTTCATCTTGACACTCGAATTATTTCGTGCCTACTTTTGAATTGAGCCGCTATCGATAAACCAGGCAAAATCCATCTCATTACTTGACTCAATTTTTTTTTTTTTTTTATAGACGGACATGCATATTAATTAAACGTATTTGACTGCAAAAGCTCAGGGCGGCTCAAATGGGCTAGGATCCCCAAACAAGTATACGAATTCAAATTGTCAAATCCGAGCTACAAAAATCCCCTAATTAATTTATATTCCGAACGATACGTAATATTTATTCAGTATCTTAACAAAATGGCATGGCTACGCTTAAGTAATAATGGGGTCTTTTACGTGTACGAGTATACCTATACTAATATTATGCATATCTATACATTATAAATACACTTTTACACGGGAAAGATAACATGGTTATCACTTGGGTACAGTGGCACGCCACAATTTTTGTAATATTACATTATTATTAAATATCATTTGCATATGCCATAGTACGGGTGAATACTTGTTTCGCAAATAAGAAATCAATTGATCATTGTGTTTCATTATTTATTTGCGAAATAAGTAATTTTTTTTTTTTTTTTTTTTTCCTATTGTTGATTTTGTTCTGTCGGTATTAGCCTACGGAATCCTCCCACCTGTCCGTACGATGGACAAAGGAACGACAGCTGTGAGTGCATGGTAGACGCGGTCCCGATATCCGGTAGGACCATGTTCAAGAAAGTCCGGATAAACATTCACACGTTGCACATCATAGGCAAGTCACTCGCTCGACTGTTCATTGTCAATTGTACCTGTTAATGTTTCCTTCGTCTTTGACTTTAGCCGATGACTATACGTTTTCCGCAAAAGTTGGGGAAAACAACATCGAGTACGGAAAAGCCGGTGACTGTTACAGTCAAATGGAGTGTCCCCAGGGACGATTTGGGATCAATTTGAGCGGCACCCTGCTGATGTTGTCGCCAGAGGTTTACTGGCCAAGACAGAAAAATACCTTCACGGTCATCAATAAAATCGTACGTGGAAACGTGCCTCTTGTGAATTCAACGCATGATTTAATTTTTTTTTTTCCCCTCTGCTTTCAGAGTAATCAGCGCGTCATAGGAAAATGTGGGGGGTACTGTGGCTTTTGCACAC